TGGGGGAAATCGGAGGGGGAGATGAACCATGAGAGAGTATGGACTCTGAGAAACAAACTGAGGGTTCTGTAGGGGAGGGGCATTGGGGGATGGGTTAGCCTGGTGATGGGTATTAAAGAGGGCATGTACTCAATGGAGCACTGGGTGTTATATGCAAACAGTGAATCATGGAACACTACATCAAAAACTAATGATGTAATGTATGGAGATTAACATAACATAATAAAATTTTAAAAAACCCATTACACTGAGTCATATTCCTTCTTCCTTTGGTGGTATAACTACTCTCTTTTTTAAAGATTTATTTATTTATTTGAGAGAGAGAGAACATGCAGGAGGTGCAGAGGGAGAGAGAGAGAGAATCTCAAGCAGACTCTGTGCTGAGCCTGGAGCCCATCTTGGGGCTTGATTTCACGACCTGGAGATCATGACCTAAGCTGAGACCGTGAGTCAGACGTTTAACTGACTGAGCCACCCAGGATCCCCTATAACTACATTTTCAGTTTCAGCTCCTTTTACTAGCCAAAACTCTCTATACCTATCTTTAGTGTTTTCCTTCTAAAAATGGTTAGATTTTTAAGGGAGGAAAACATTTCCCTTACTCCCCTTTATTCTCTATTTTGAAGCTTACTCTCAATATGGGAATCTACCTTGTAAGTTGGCAAAAGTTTCTTGAACTAATGGAAAGGAATTAAAAATCCAAAGACATGATATTATAATCATTATATATATAAATGATAATATAATTATAATGCACTTTTATAATCACCACTACATTAATACGGCCACAACGGGAAAGCAGTCTCTAGCCCCTCACAGTCCTAGTAAAATAAATCATAACATTTTCTGAAATAAATTGCATTGACTGCCACTTATATTCATTATTCTAAAAGTTGAATGAAATAATTGTGAGGTTATAGGTAAATTTTTGCCCCATCTATTTTTTAAACATCAACCAAACTGCATTAGAATATGGGAAAGGTAATTAATTAAAAACAGAAGAAAAAAATTCTGGAGACAAATTTTGATCATATACATTTAGGCTTAAATTTTTAGTACTGATTCATATAGTGAAAAGCATCCACTCTATAGCATGTGGAAGTTTTCAACACAGTATGTCTTAGAGTTTTACAGATAATATAGCTTCATAATAATTGAAAAGTTGTATCTTTAATTCAAAAGGACATGATAGTTAAGGATAAGAAATAGAAATTATATATACATATATATGCGTGTATGTGTGTGTGTGTGTGTGTGTGCGTGTGTGTGTGTTTGAAAATAACATGCTTTTCAAATAACCCATATATCTCCTACCTGAAGTCGGAACCTGCTCTTCTACCATTTTCTGGAATCCCAGGATCCGGACACATGTCAGAAACCAATGCAACACCTCCTTGACTCACTATAATAGAGAGAAACATTCTTGTAATTATGTGTAGCTCTTGGGGAAATCATCAGAGATTAAATTTATGTTAGGCAGTCTTGGTTCTTAAATTATGATAACTTAAAATGTGATTTACTTAGAATTAAGACACTTAGCTATATTAAAATAAACCTTTATGTCTGAAAAACAAAGGCTTCTTATCCAGTAAAAGGAGGCCAACATTCTTTAGTTTGAACCCTTCTTCTATTGAAGTGGTCAAAATTTAGTTTTAAAAAATATATTTGCTCATATGGACAACTTTATGACAGGTTTCAACTAATAGCATGATGGGAAAAAAAAGAGCAGAATGGTGAAAATGTCAAAGTTTATACAGAAGAAAGCCTTCATCCACTATCCATGGATGAAGTGAAGAAACAAATTATCTGTTAATACCTATACAAAAGACACCTTAGATAAAACTATCTTTTATGTTTTCAACATTGAACATGTTTATCATTGAACTAAAAAAAAAAAAAAAAAGGACTGTTCTTTTATAGACATGCTGCTTTATTTCCTGTATCTGTTCCATGAAGAGCATTTCCTCCTGTTGGGATGATGTACAATCACAGTACAACAGTGATTTTAAAGTACTCACTTGCTTACTGGATAGGATAACTGCCACTCAAACACCCACCAACCCTATTTAAGCTGTCTAACCCAATCAAGGCAATTCCTTCTTTCATTCCAGAAATTAACTCAACCATGGGCTTGTGACCCAATTCCATTCAGTGAGACATGAGGGAAAGTCTCTAGCCATGCCACTGGGAAGATATTCCAGTGAGACAATAGAAACCATCTCTCTCTTTTTTTTTTAACTTGAAACTTACTGTGTCTGGATTTTGAATGTGGAACTTTTGGTACCATTTTGCTATGGTCCAAGGATGGGAGCAATAGTATGGATAGGATAGAAGATATATAGCAAGAATCAGGACACTTGATGTCATAGTCGAGGCAGAAAATTTACCAATTCAGGAAATTACCCTATCTCAACATTCTGTTGGATAATTCATGTTTCCTACAGCTTAAGCCCATTTGAATAGATGATTTTATTATCTGCATAT